ACTGAGCAGACAAACACATCCTGTAATAGTGATGCTCAGGTAAGTTTTTCTAAGTCATCAGCTCATAGGTCAAATCCTGAATGAATGGGGGTGTTTAGCATAGGTCATTAGCATTGAGAAATGTGCCTTGAAACACCATGATTAGTATAGCCATTAGTGGCAGCAATAGTATGGGTAGATGATGTAACATGGGTGGTTGATAATGCTCAAATATACAAGACTATATATCATTGCTTTAAATCAACTACAAATATGTGAAGACAAGGTTAACACTTCATGATGATTTATTTGTGGGTTGATGGTCCATACTTGTATTAGTATGAAATAAAATGATAATTACATGACACTACTAGGTCTACAGAAAGTGTAACATATAAATTTACAGTAAAGGAATTATATGTAAAGCATAAAACATATGTAAATGAATTTACAATGAAGGAAATAGTAAAAGTTTTCTTGAAGCTTTCTCTCATTTTCTTACATTTTTATTATTATTACTACTACTAATGATAAAATTATTAAAATTACTAATACTTTTTCTGATATCATATATATATACATACATACATACATATACATAAATATGTATACATAGATACATATGCATAAATATTTGGATATGTGTATGTTTATATGTATATATGTATATTTATATAAATATGTACACACACACACACACACACACACACACACACACACACACACACACACACACACACACACACACACACACACACACACACACACACACACACTCTCTCTCTCTCTCTCTCTCTCTCTCTCTCTCTCTCTCTCTCTCTCTCTCTCTCTCTCTCTCTCTCTCTCTCTCTCTCACACACACACGCACACAAATATATGTATATGTATATGTATATATATATATATATATATATATATATATATATATATATATATATATAATATATAATATATAATATATATAATACATACAACATATATAATATATATATCTGAGTTAGCATTATTTACTTAAATATTTCTTTCACCTGTTTATCTTGATATCTATGTTATACAAATAATTCATCCATTAGAAATCATGTTTACTTTGTGTCCTCAGGATCCAGAAGTTTTGCTTGAGTCTTTCCGCAAGGAATGGCAGAGGGAACTGAAGGAGTGCGGGGGCAAAGGTCTTCAGCAGGCCTTGGCAAAGCCATCCCCCACTGGAGGGCCTGCCATAGGACCTCCAGCAAGATCTCAAGTGGCACAGAAGCCCCCAAGATCACAGAAACCTGTTACCCCAGTCCATGGAAACTCTGGGCTCCTGCAAGGGACACTTAGCAAAGATGAAGGAGGAGGAGAAGGAGAAGGAGGAGGAGGAGGAGGAGGAGGAGTAGGAGTAGGAGAAGGAGGAGGAGGCAGTGGAGAGGTAGAGGGAAGTGAGGGCAGTGTTAGTGAGAATAACAACAGCAGTGAAATTGGTAACAATTTGAGCAATAGCAATATGGGAAACAGTCATGACACAAGCAATGGCACTTTGAATGCTACTGAAGGTCCTAAAGAAGACACCAGGTCAGATGTGGAGATTAAGGTAAGATGAGAAACAATTATATTGTATCCGTAAACCACACTTTTTTTCCATAACACTTCCCCGAAAAAGTTTTTGTTTTCCTTCTTTACCTTATCCTACAATATCCTTTTTATAACTTTGTAGGTCAGCATGTCAGTATATTTTACCAAGCCCATACAATATTATTCATAATAGACTACAAGTTGTTACCTTTCTTATTATATCTATCACATTTTGTTAACTGGCTTTTCATATTGTCCTGAAAATAAGGTTTTCATAATTAAGTATATGGCAGTCAAACTATGATGCTTCTTGATATATACTCCACCTAAAATTTTTGATTGTAATACTGGTTCTGTACCTCCCACATCTGTAGGTATCTTTAGCATTAAATCATTAACCTATCAGATTCAGGTGATGTGACCATCTTATCATAAAAAAAAAAAATTGGCTGAGGGCTGGGTTACGGGAATATGCTATCATGGAAAATGATTCACCACAAGTGCACAAAGCTTTTGGAGGAAGATTAGACTCAATGGACATATAGGAAGGGACTCTTTCATTATTTCTACCAGTTAATGAGTGTGTAGTGTATCACCTGTGATCCATGGCTGGAAGAGTCCAACTCCAGGGAGGACACTATTTCCTGCCTCCCGTAACCAGGAGTGCAGGGTCTGCAACAGAAAATTGACATACATACATACATATATAAAAGTTATTTTAAAAATTTTACAGATAAGAAAATGTTATATTGTTAGTGCTGTTGCACAGAGTTGTAGAATACTTAGAGAGATGATCTTGAGTCTGTTCCAAGAAAAATCTATAACTAGCATTTCAAAGAACAAATATAGACCATGTAAAAGTTTTTAAGGGGCTGATCCTACTCAAGTAAGCCCAATACCCCTATTTTTGGCCACATGAGCAGCAAGGCACTTGTATCCAACAGGTTATTGTGATGTAAGATTTCCAACTTGTGAGTCGAAAAAACATCCAAAAGTCACAGAGGTCGAGATCAAGGAACATAAAGATTATCAAATCTTTGGGGGGGGGGGGGGGTTGAGCTTAGCCAAAAATTTACAAACACTTCAATGTTATAATTAAGCAATGTTTAGATTTGTTTGGATAGTGTCTGAAAGAGTGGATTTCATTTGTTGTAGAAATTAACTAGAAGATTAACAGGATATGTGGATTTCCTTTGTAATAGAAATTAGCAAGCTAACAAACTTGAAGCTTCTGAAAACATGTCAACCATTCTTGCAATAACATATTCCATAATCTTCCCCACACAGGCTACAGAACTGTTCAACAAAGCAGTTGAGCTTGAACAGAGTGGATGTTTGTATGAAGCCATCCAGTTCTACAGGCGAGCCATGACGCTTGTGCCTGACATAGAGTTTAGGGCACACCGCCACAACATGCTAGAGAGGCCAGAGGGTATGTTTGCCTTTTATGGTTTCATTCCTTTTTATTTGTTGTTCTCCCTTTTTTTTCTCTCTTTTCTATTCTTGTTTTCTTAACCAGTTAATTCATTTTTTTCTTTCCTTTCTTACCCAGTGTATTTTTTTCTATTTCTTATATTAACTAATTAAATGTCATTATTGCCTCTGAAAACACTATATGTTCTTGAATATCCCATTATAATCATCATAAATCAGTCTCAGGGTTGCTAGGTGACACCTGAGATGTGTTTGTCACTCACTCACAGCCTGAAATACATGTAGATTTCATTGTACAGATATTAGAGTTCTTTTATATTTTACATTGTTTTGCATTTACAAATCTGCTCTAAAAGGCCCAGGTTGAAAAATAAACTTTGTGTTGGGATTGTGAGTCTAAGATTGACCTGTTGTTTATGGAAAAGAATTAGGAATTCCTTTCCAAAATTTGTTAATGAAGTTAGTTAATGAAACATGGGTCTTGCAGTCAGTGGAATAAGCGTACAATACTACCCATGTATTTAGGAAATTTAGGGTCGTAATAAATATTTGGTAAACTAAAGATTTTTAAGATGATAAGAAATACACATTTTTCCTGTTGAAAAATTAATATAGAACTAATAGTTGAAAAAGGTTAATAGTTAATGGTTACAAAGTGAAGTAAATGTGTCATGGGTCATATAGCACTATAGAAAGGAGTAATAATGAAAAGGGTAAAGAGAGAGGTTCTTTGATGATTAAATGTGCTAAACCTTAGAAGTCATATAGAAGTTCAGGAAGGTAGGGATTAACAAGGGTGATTAAAGCAAGTTGTCAAAGGAAGAAGTGTGGAATTCTGCAAGGATGTCTGTAGGGTAAAGTTGGGAAGATACTGGGATAGATGTAGAAACATCTTGGCAGGGAAGGGAAGGGACAGAGCGAAGGACATTATTAGTGTAGGGAGTGAGAGAAAAGCCTAGTTGATGTGTTTCCTGTCTGGCTTCACATAAAATGAGGCCAGATTTGATTCTAAGAATTGCCACTTCAGACTCAAAGTTGTTGGTTGGGCAGCCCTATAAAATACATTATGAAAACTGCCATCATTTATGACCAGGATGGGCACATAAGGGCCATCAAGCTGTGGAATGGCAGGGTTTGGCAGGATGGCCTAGACATCAACATTTCTGACATTGACAGGAGAGAGGTTGATGTGATCGGACAGGGAGGGACTCGCCACCAATGTAAACATTAAAGGGGAGGTCATGTCTACAGAATATAATCTTGGCAATATTGATGGGGGACTTACAGGGGCCTCGAGGGCAGATGGTGTAGTATTGTACTGATGATACTGCACCATAGTCCATGAGCCAGGCAAGTAAGTCTTCTAGTCAGTCCTTGTCATAGACAGGGCAGTTTGTCAGAGAGATTGAGACAATTCCAATGCAAGTATTGAGGGAGAGATGAGGTTGGATAGGAATGGGTTTGCCAGTGAAGTCAGTTATAGTTGATAATGCTATAGCTTGGGATTCAGATGTAACTGTGACAAGGCAGGAATAATTAGGGCAGCTGTGGAAGGAAACTTTGTCTACTTGTTTTTGGAGGCATTGCAGGAAGAGGAGAGTGTTGTCCGAGTAAGGGGTTGTAGGGGGATTATGAAAAATTGATCCTCTTTGGCTGGGCTAAACAGAGTAGTCAAGATGTTTGTAGAGGTGGAGGTAGTAGATGGACAAGATGTTTGGAAGAGGGAGTAGTGTTGAGTGAGATAATAATGGGGAGAAGTGGACAATAAGGTTTCAGAGTAGTAATAAGGGAGGAAGGGTAGTTGGTAAAGAAAGTTGTGGGATTGGAGATGAAGTAGATGTTGGAAGAAGAGAAATGAATCCAGGAGATTGTGTATTGACCTGGATGGATGATTTGCACTGGGCTGATGGGACAATAGGCATTGAGGAGGGGGCCTTTTTGACATTAATAATGGTATAAAGTCTTCATTACTGGTCATGGCTAGAGTGTGTTGGGGAGAGAAACACCCCTCACGATCCCCTTGAGAGGTAAGGGCTAGACAATCAAACAGGAAGAATACCATACTTAAGGCTCCCCCAGGCCATTCATGACTGTCACAAAGTTTTCCCTTCAATACATCCTTATGTCCCATGTGAAATAAACAGGGTGCTTCAGAATATACTGACAGAATATAAAGATCCTACTAAAAGCAAATGTTATGCTGCATGTAGTTAGTAAGCCTATATTTTGGAGCATGGTAAACACCAGGCATTTCAATACTGATGTAATTTAGAAAGAATTATAAATAAAATTATAGTTTCCTGCATTTTTCTCAAAGCATGGTAGTGAAGTTTTTTTTATCCCAATACCACCAGGAAAATGCAGTGTCCACCATAGTTTTTTTTATTATTATTTATTATTAGATACATTATGATTAATAATACATTACTAACATTACCAATAGCAATATAAGATTAAAGAAAAAAAATCCTAAAATCAAGGCAACACGTAAAGAGGAATGAAAGGTAGTACTAATAATTGACTCCAGACTGACTAAAGGCAAGTAGTGTCATCTATTTGTGAACACAATTAATAAAACAAAAACTCTCAGTGGACATGGCAGGTATAGCCCAGTGGCAATGTGTTATGCACACAGGTTTATGATGTTTATGAATACCCCCCCCCCCCCCAAAAAAAAAAAAAAAAAAAAAAAAAAAAAAAAAAAAAAAAAAAAGAGGTTTGGGTTACCATTTATGACTTATACTAATGAACCAGTTAAACACGAACACAAGAGAATATGATATTCATGAAAAAGAAAGAAGAAGGGACAGAGGAGGATAAAGGCAGAAAAAAAATAGCAATCATTCAAATCTACAGGCCATATGGGGAGGAAATACAGGCATGCAAATTGCATTTTTAACGTGTCTTCCTGTGCGTTAAGGAAAATAGTGAGTTTTTATTTTAAAATTAATATTATTGTACATTATGAACGATAATTGTCAAGGACTAATCAGGTGAAATCTCCATCGAGATTTTTTTTTAACCTTAAATTGCGTCACTGTACGAATGTCACCACGATAACGCAATTTCGATATTAATTTATTTATGAACATGTTTTATGTATTTTCTTTTCGTTTCTTTTATCTCGTGTCCGACCATTGCAAGTTTGTAACAGCTATGCTAATAAAATAGTGAAATCTCCGAATCCATTGCACCCGAATTACCGATGCCGAAGCTTAGGCCAAATCGAAGGCGTATGACCAACGAATGCGTAAAAAAAAACGTGTCTTTTCGTCATAAAGTTTAATTAAATCAGTACTACATTATTCATGTCAGGTCAAATTATGGTAAGCCTTTCTTCACATACTGAATAAATTTTAAGGAATGGCTATGCATATGACTTGAACAATTCGGCATACTTTTTTCTCCAAGCAAACAAAACCTAACTAATTTATTATTGTTAATCATCATCATTATCATTATCATTATTATTTTACAATGGATAATTATCCAAACAACTCACCCAAGATAATTAATGGAATAGCCAAGAAAAAGAAGACCCCCGGCAGCCACGTGGTTTCGAATCTCACAGAATAACCAATTTACTATTATTATCATCATCATTATCATTATTATTTTACAAGATAATTAACAAAATAGCCAAGAAACTTCAACAGAGAAGACCCCCCCCCCCCCGGCAGCGACGTGGTCTCGAATCTCACAGAATAACCAATTTAGTATTATTATCATCATCATTATCATTATTATTTTGCAAGATAATTAATAAAATAGCCAAGAAACTTAAACAGAGAAGATCCCCCCCCGGCAGCGACGTGGTCTCGAATCTCACTTGATTTCGCGACGTGACGAAATGAACCGGTTCGCCACGGAGAGAGGTTAGGGTTGCGATATTTAGCTTAATTTTGGTACGATTCCGTCTTGTAATTCAGTTTGATTCACTGACTCCTGACTGATGTGGTTTTTAGTTTTGATTGTGTGGCTTTGGATGATGATGGTTAAGACGTGTAAGATGATTTTAAAGTATTCGTGATGCAATCAGCTGATTTTCACTGCCTCTCTTTCCCTTTCCTTTTCTTTTTTCTATTCTTTCTTTCTTTTTTTTTTTTTTTTTTTTTTTTTGGGGGGGGGGGGTTGTAGTAATGCCCGTAACATACTGATCTGCCTCTCTTTCCCTTTCCTTTTCTTTTTTCTATTCTTTCTTTCTTTTTTTTTTTTTTTTTTTTGGGGGGGGGGGGGGTTGTAGTAATGCCCGTAACATACTGGATTTTTGCTTTTAATTTGGGAAAAGCAAGGCGTTGTCATTTATTTCTGAGTTATTAAAGAAAGAAAACGATTTTTTTTTTTTTTTTTTTTTTTTACCAAATTCCCTTTGTTGCATTTTTTTTTTTTTTTTTTTTTTTTTTTTTTTAGTGATTTATTGTCCATTTACTCTCAGTATTTAACTTAAAAAAAAAATTAAAGATAGGATATTTTCAATACATGTTTGGTTTGATTTCTATTTTAGTTATGTATTTATTGTTATTTTTTTATGAGGGGGAAGGGGCAGTATTTATGAAATGCAACAAACTGATAAACAAACAATGAAAAATTCTCTCTCTCTCTCTCTCTCTCTCTCTCTCTCTCTCTCTCTCTCTCTCTCTCTCTCTCTCTCTCTCACTCTCTAACTCTAACTCTAACTCTAACTCTCTAATTCTCTTGCCTCCCTCCCTCCCCATCCCTCTCTCTCCCCACTCCCTCCCCATCCCTCTCTCTCCCCACTCCCTCCCCATCCCTCTCTCTCCCCACTCCCTCCCCATCCCTCTCTCTCCCCACTCCCTCCCCATCCCTCTTTCTCCCCACTCCCTCCCCCTCCCTCTCCCCACCCCTCCCCCTCCCTCTCCCACCCCTCCACCCCTCCCCCCCACTCCCTCCCCTCCCTTTCCCCACTCCCTCCCCTCCCTCTCCCTACTCCCTCCCTTTCCCCACTCACTCCACCTTCCTCTCCCCACTCCCTCACATCTTGATAAATGTCATTGCTTGTCAGACTGTTTCTGTTAGACAATTTGTTAGACAAATTCTTACATGCAACACATCAGCCAAGCTAACAGTGGCTGGATAAGAAGCCACACCTCCAGAGACTGGTGAAAATACACACACACACACTGCAAGTAGAACTAGAAAAGCACTCAGAGAGTGCAGACCTCCGCCAAGGTGCGTATATAATGTACTTACACCGCTGCTGCGTCCAGACAGTAATTCGGAATGTCGGTGAAATGTGGTACACGTTTACCATCGATTTGTGTATTTTATTGATTAATTAATGATGATAATAATAACCAGACGGTAATTCGGAATGTCACCAAAATTTAATCAGTTCTAAGTTAGTCCCTTTCTGACTTGTCCCCCAAATTTCAATGAAATCCGGCCAGCACTTTTTGAGCTAGGCTGCTAACAAACAAACTAACCAACAAACCAACACCGTCAAAAACATAACCTCCTTGGCGGAGGTAACAATGAAGGGAAGTACAAGAAAACACATGAATATCCCAAAGGCCTTTTCACATTTCCTGCTTCATTAGGGTACACACACAAACACACACACACACACACACACACACACACACACACACACACACACACACACACATACATACATACGTGTATATGTATTTTGTTATGAAAAAGCATGACCTCCCAATTTTAGGTGGCATGATGTCCCTGTGTGATGACAGGGATATAGCATCAATGGAGATTGTGTTTCAGGCATCCGTTGCATTTGCTCTGAGACTGAGGGAGAGGAGACTGGTAATGAAGATGTTTTGGATGAAGAAGACCTTCAGGATCTCACTGCCCGCTTCCAGTTGCTCATGGCTCCGGCACAGGCTATGTGTTCCCCGCAGTTTGAGCAAGAGGTTAGCATAAAGATTAAAGTCTTTGGCTAAATATCCTTTGATTTCCACTGGTTGTTCCTTCACTCCTTTAAGTTTGTCCTTTTGCCTTACTCCTTGCTTTTTATCACTTCATCATGTGCATTTTGGGTTTCTAAAAGCTCTTTATTCTTTTGAATGGATTATCAATAGTGTATAGTAAGTCCCCAACTTAAGAACATAATGGGGACCAAGAGGCTGTTTGTGAGTTGATTTGTTTGTATGTCGAAAGTCGGGTCACCATTACCTTTTTTCCCATTGTTTTAAAGTTTTGTTTACATTAAGAATACCTGTAAATAAATCTCAATAAGTACGACATACCTTCTACAGTACCAGACTCTTGAACTATATTCGTGCCTGGGAAATTTTGAAGTTTGCTTGCATCTTTCAAACAATTTTTTGAATTTTAGTACTTCAAAAATTTTGTTTGTATGTATGGAATGTTCATAAGTAGAATGTTCTTAAGTAGGGGACTATCTGTATATATGCCACAGTGATGGTTTTTAACAAGTTGCTCTCTTGAATTCCAGGCCGCACACATTTCATGTCTGCCGCCAGAGATGTTGGACCGCATAATGAGATGGGTTGTTGGTAACGACTTGGACATCCGCTCCCTGGAACAGGTGTCTCGTGTGTGTCACGGATTCTACCTGATAGCTAGGAATCCTGAGATCTGGCACAAAGCTTGCGTCAAGTAAGGCTTACGTGTTATGTGTATTTTGGAAAAGTCTAATTATGAGAAGTAGATAGTTGGTAGAAAAGAAGAGTTAATACATTGTTTTCAAGTATTTAAGAAAATATCCAGGTAATATTAAATGCAGGTCATTTATGTGGATGCCTGCGAGTGCTCTTTCATATACTTCTATGCCCAAGAAAGATGATAGATAAGGAATGTATTTGATGTTTAAGTATGTATGCAGTTTCTTACACTTAAAAGCAATTCTGGTGTTATAGGTGTTCATTTTACATCAAAGTTGAAAACAAGATATTTTAGATATTTTACAAATTCTGAATTCTGTTGTTATTATGAAAGGTATTCAGTGAACGAACACTTTCTTGCCTCAACAGGATCTGGGGAATCAACACAGGCACCCCAGGAGTATATGGATCATGGAGGCAGATGTTCATACACAGGCCTCATCCACGGTTCAACGGTTGTTACATCTCCCGGACAACCTATTTCCGTTGTGGTGCAAGCAACTTCCGGGATGCAAATTACCAGCCCTGGCATGTGGTCCAGTACTATCGATATGTGAGGTGAGTAAAGGATGTGGGTGATAGTTGTTAACAGGTAAAATGTTAAGATTTCAACCCCTAAATGACAGGGCATATGATAATATTTCCTCTGTAGGCAATATAGATTGCAAGTGTCCAAGGTTTCACTGGCATCACTGGCAATGCCATGATGTGGCCCAAAATAAAGACATTAGGCTTACTTGAGTGGCCACTCTGACAGGTGTGCAGCTTGTAGGCCAGGCGCACATGAACAGTCATGTGTGGTGGCAAGACTCCAAGCCACTTCTTTGCAATGTTATTTTCTCTTTTTAGCTTTTTTGTCATTTCCCTATGTCTGTATTTGTCATTTGATTTGCTTTATCGTAATAGACTATTTTCCTTGCACAGACTCTAGGCAATCCATAAGTCCACATTATCACGTTAGGCAGTCTATTAATAATAACAATAAGTAACATTTTTGTGTGTGTGTGTGTGTGTGCGTGTGCGTGTGCGTGTGTGAGAGAGAGAGAGAGGGAGAGAGAGAGAGAGAGAGAGAGAGAGAGAGAGAGAGAGAGAGAGAGAGAGAGAGAGAGAGAGAGAGAGAGAGAGAGAGAGAGAGAGAGAGAGAGATTTTCTATAATACAACCTCTACTGCCGGTCACAGCAGCCAGGAATAAGATCCTGATCATTGAAACAGCATCCTTCCCAAATGCCAAAGGAGTTTATTCTCTCTCCAATAGCTTTGTGCACTCATGGCAAGTCAGTCCCATCACCCCGGCCTCCAGCCAAAATGGTCTCAACAGCAAGTTCATGTCATCCCAACCTGCAGCCAGCCAGTGATGGTCATGTCATCCAGATCATAGGGGTTAATTGATGGAAAATCAAAAAAGCTTTCTTCCTCTTCAGCATTTCTTATGCTTACTTTTTCTTTCAGGTTCTTCCCTGATGGGTCTGTGAGCATGTTGACTACTCCAGACGAACCAGTGTCTGTTGTTTCACACTTACGAACAAAAGAACCGAGGAACTTACAGGTATACTAGAGGTAGAAGTTACTAATCTTGATATTCTTGGTGTTTATTAATTAAGGGATATATATGTAAAAGTCTATTCATTCTCTCTCTCTCTCTCTCTCTCTCTCTCTCTCTCTCTCTCTCTCTCTCTCTCTCTCTCTCTCTCTCTCTCTCTCTCTCCCTCCCTCCCTCCCTCCCTCCCTCCCTCCCTCCCTCCCTCCCTCCCTCTCTCCCTCTCTCCCTCTCTCCCTCTCTCCTTCTCTCCCTCTCTCTCTCCCTCTCTCCCTCCCTCCTTTTTTTCTCCCTTCCCTATTTTTTCCAATATCTCTTCTTCATTCTGTCTTCTTTCTAATTTCTCTCTCTCCCTCTCCCTCTCCCTCTCCATCTCCATCCTCTGCTTCCATTTGTATCTACCTCTCTATCTATCTGTGTTTATGAAGACAAAACTTCTCAGACCATTTCTTTGTAGGTTGTGAAAGGCATGTACCGTTTCCATGGACCAAATGTATCTCTTGTGTTGAGGCGGCAGTCTCGGGAGATGCGCAACCGCAGAAAGGGGCGGAGGCACCTGGGAGGAACCACAGATGTTGCAGAAACCACCTTCCAGATTGTAAGTATTTGGGTTATTTAATATCATTATTTTCTTCTTCTTTTTTTTTTTCTTCTTCTTCTTCCTCTTCTTTTTAAAGAGAGCTTGATAGTGATTGTTAGTCATTTTAACTCACTGACTTTTTTGTGATATACTGGGAAGAAAATATAATTTCTTGTAATAAATTATCACAGGTTTATATTACTCTTCCACCTTGCGTATATTACTTTACAGGAGTTTGAAATAAGACCTGTCAAACAGAGGCCTCACTGGCAGCTTGTATGGCGCAACTACACAATAACATCAACGTTCTATGATGGTAAACAGAACACGTCTCAGATTGAGGTTAATGACACCAACAATTTTCCACCTTTATCCTTCTCGCGTGTGAAGAGCTATACCACGGACAGCGAAAAGCCTCTCGTGTGAGATGGATTGAAGAATTTTTGAAGAAGTTAGTTTTCCATTCTTACAAGATTCATATTATCCTGATGGAGAAACTACATAAAATTATAGGATGTTGACCAATAGGCAATAAAACACAATAGGCAGGAAAATATAAGAATGATGAGGATTTTTGTTTGAGTAGAAAATAATGATGGTTTTTATTTCTAAAAGAAGAAAACTTATTTTCATTAAAGAACACGCACACGCACACGCACACGCACACGCACACACACACATATGTACACATATGTACACATTTATGTAGACACATACTATGGGGATACAGAGGATTTATTTGATTTTGAATGTTGAATGTTGATACAAGAAAACAGATGTTGAGGGATTAGATAATAAAATCAAGATCAGAGAAAAACTAAGTAGGAGTTAGTGAATGAATAAGTGATCGTGTATGTATGTATGTTTGTTTGCTTCTGCTTGTGCTTTTATGGGGGGAGGACACACGAGCATGTATATACACAAATCATAGACAAGGAAAGAACATGGAATGAAGTTGGATATGTAGGAAAGTTGTAGTTAGAAGAGCTTGGGGTACTATAGTGTAAGAAGAAGGCTTTTATTTGCATTGAGTGTGGTTTTGAACACAGTTTTTCATTTTTTATTTATTTATTCATTATTTTTTTTATGAATAAATACAACAATGAATGTATTAGAGAAAGAGTGAGAGCAAGTTAACCAGAGTTTGTTAGTATGCCTCTGTATTACCACTCATTTTCACACTACATGCCCCAAAATCCTTAAAGAGAGGAATTAAGGTTTACTTAAATCGTAAAAGTTCGCATTATTCTGTCTCTTGTCGTTTCTGCGATTCTGTGCTTTATGGGAAAAAAGAAAAAAAGTTGTTGATTTCTTATGATTTGAAGAGAATAATTTTTTTGCAAGTTTGGATTTTTATTGTGCAAATATAGATCAACATTTGTTTGGAATGTTCTTTTGTACCATTGGGAAAAAAGTAATTTTTCTTTGATAGCCAATATAATTGCCTTGTATTGTAAGTTGGATTCTGAGTATGAATTTTATGTATAGAGGTATTTCTGTTTTATTCTCAAGAAGAAGAAAAATCAGTAGTAATGCTGAATTAGTTATGATGGAGCATAACATTTTATATGTAATGGAATGAGTACTTCAGTTTTCCCCCCATCTTTTTTTGCATTCTCTTTTTTTCCTCTTCTTGATTTGCAGTTGTTTAACAGCCAAGGCTCAAACTGCCTTTTATTGATTCTCAAAATTAAGTAGATCTCGAACTTGATGATTTAGCATCATGTGCAAGCAGTCCTTTATTTGACAGCATCAATTCGCCTTTGCTCTCCTTCACATTATTAAGGTTGATGGTTGTACAGAAGTCTCCTTCTGTGACTCTGTAACCCCTGTAACGTTTCTGTAATCAACACTTCTATGGTTAATGAATTGCAAGTGATTGTAGGTCTCACTGACTGTGAACTGGTACAAATTAATGTGCAGCATTTCATTTGCCATGGTTGAAGTTTGTGTGCATCTTTTGTTACTGTGTGAAGTTGATGTTGTTGATGAACTCTTCATATAACAATTGTAACCTAGTAAACTTGAGATTTTTGTAGTATGTGTAGTATCAGTCACAAAGTAATGATGTCATCAGTAGATTAATGGTGGGGTTTTCTTTGAGACACTGTACTTGTTTCATTCCCTGTGTACCCCTTTTCTTGTTCACTTGAAGCAGCAAAAAAGGAAAAATGGAAATGTCAGTACTTTAAAAAGTATTTCATTTTCCTATATCTTTCCTCTTCTTTTTTTTTTTCATTGCTTCTTCCTAACCACTCCTTCTTTGGTAGAAACTTCACACTGAATACAATGCTTAATAACTGAGTGAGATGCAGAGTTTGTCAGGTTTTCATATATTCCCCCACACAGTTTTGTATTTTGCTGCACAAGCTTACTATGAACATCATATCTATGCACATAAGTTCAACTCACAATGACTATTTTATGTCTTATACTATGTAGCGAGAGAACAGGCGAAAAGGTATTCTTCAAGAAGAGGAATTTTTTACCTTAACCCAAGAAAATAGAAAAATATATTTTGAGTTTTACTAAAAGTGTGTAGTTTAGGTATGTATCTGGGAGAACACAATTGTGTAATGTATATGAGTTTTTTTTTAGTTTACAGTAAATGTGATATGTACATTTAAATTACTCCTCTAAAAGGTTGTCTTAAGATATAATCTGAAGGATTTAACTATTTTTCTGATGCAAATGTTTGTTTTGTTTTAATAATTGTATATGGAATATGAGCATTTTATTATGTACTTGTACAAATTGGAATGTTGATTATTGTTGGAAAATAAATATTAGATCTTATGTAATGTTTATTAACACATATTTATCAGTTCTCCACTGTATAGCTAAGATTTCAGTATTAAATGTAAAATCATTCACAACAGTAGATTTACTTCTCAGGGAATGCATTGTTTATGGATAAAAGTGCTGTTATTACAAAGGGAACAGCTTATATATTATTAGACATAGTAAAATATGAACAAGGAATGTTACTCTCATGAAACTTTGAGAATGATTGAGAAGTCTTACCTGATACCTCAGTGTTTTCTGCAAATACAGCTAATGTTACAACACCTGCATAAATTTTCCAAATATTTTGTTATAACAATGTGCAATCTGTTGTTAATACAAATATAGACTTGATATCAATTCAATATCATTACAGATTTGATTTATTGCACTTCTAACAATGGAATAGACATGAACTGACACAAGTTGGCATAAGATATGACACAAGGAGTTCATGTCGTCACCCTAGCATGTGTGGCATGACCATACAAGTCACCAGAAAACAGGATTGGCACACGGTGGCATGTAT